GTGAAAACCAACTTGGAGAAGGCTAGAAATCAAGATTCTTGGTAGGATTGGAATATCTTGATCTCAACGCATGAGTAGGTGGTTCTCTCTCAGAAAACGAATGGTGGAAGTCTAGCCTCGTTCTGATGGCTCTCTTACTGAGTAAGAGGGGTGGAGGTGTATATATAGCCTCCACACGAAATCCAACCATTACACTCATTCGATCAAACTCGGTGGCACCGACTAAAATTCTCGGTGAGACCGACCTATGCAAAAGATATGAATGTTGGAGGTCTTGGTGCGACCGACTATACCATCTCGGTGGGACCGAAGTGCAATGGAAAAGGTAGAGCCGCGTTTCGGTGATTCCGAGATGAAGTGATTTCATCACAAAAACTTGGCACGGCCATCTCGGTGGGACCGAGAGCTGTTTCAGTCAGACCGAAATGTTAGGGTTTGGCTATGGCAGTGTCCAGATGAACTCGGTGGGTCTGGATAGGTAGAGTTTGGTGGAACCGAGTTGGCTTGAAGGGGTTTTGAACATATTTGGATAGAGAAAGTGGTTGAGGGTTTGGAGCAATATCACGAAGCACTTGAGTGACCAGATCATTATCAAAACCTCATCCCCTTTTAATAGTATTGGATTTTGTATGGACTCAATGTGATCTTGGATCATTTAACTGAAAATGAAGAGTCTTGAGCTTTTGCTAATTCATGTCCTTACATTTTGAAGGGGTCCACATCCTCACTTCAGTTATGCCACTGTTGAACTTGTCTCATATATGCTAGATAAAATGTCATTCCAACAAAAAGATATGTGTACATTTGCCAAAACCATCAAGGGAGCAAATGTGCTTTCAGCTTTGTGTAATTTGTCCTGATTGATGGACTTGAGAAGGATTGAAGCCCGGAAGACTTACTTCGAGAAGTAGTGTAACCATCCGTTCGAGCGGCGCTCCTACGGGGACTAAAACCCCTAACGTATCTACTAGCCGGAGCCTTTCAGTCGGAGCATCGCTCCTGAGGCACCAAGATTCCCTGCCTTGCCATTGGTCGCCGGAGCGACCAGTGGAGGGGTGACGAATCCGCGGGCTCACCGACGGAGATCGACGGAAGGAAGACGGTGCCCTAGCCGCCTTGCAAGAAGGGAAAGAAAGACTACTCACTTCAAGGAGTAGAGATTGATGTGCACGGAATGTCCCTTCTTATAAGATCTCAAGCAGAACTCTTCTTTTTTCCGAGAATTTCACAATAATTTTGTTGTTGTCGACGAAGAAATGGTGTTCATCACTCGAACCTACTTTATGCAATTCAGTCGACTCTTTTAGCCCGACGGGACACATAGGGGCCGGGATGGTTGCCGCAAGCAAATCAGAGCAAAATGCATCGAAAATTTGAAAAACCCCGCATAGCCTCTCAAATGCCTACATCAGTTGACAGCCGGAAACACTGTAGTATCAGTATCTACCGGCACATTCACTCACTCTGCATCTTAAGTTCTTGACAGCTACCACTAATTTGGTACTCCTGCCACTCTGCGGCGGCACATCACTTGCATAGAGTATCAAGCTAGTCCTCACTCCTCAGCTAGACATACCATCGCACACATTTAGAGTCGCGCAAAGGGCGAGCTCTCGCGGTGGCCACGTCGGTTTACTGTGCCGAGGGAATAAAGAAAAAAAAAGAGATATGGTCGAGCGCACGAATTGCGGGATTGGCCAGCGACTCTTTCGCCCCTGGACAAAATTACTGTTCTGACCCTTAAGGCAAACTAAATCCCGATTTGACCTCGTTCCGAATTTTTTTTCGTTTCTGACCTTTTTCGGTGACGCCAAGGTCCCTGGCGTCTGCTTCG